TTATGTCTTCCCATTTTTTCATGGCCCTCTCTCTGGTGCTATTTAGCACTCAACCCAAGAGTAACCGGTTTTCCAAAGGTGGCAACCATCCTGTAAAAACTAACTTTTTACGACTTTGTCCAAATAAATCAGCACTGGTGGCAATACGTGTTGGCATTGGGGCCGCAAGGTAATTTGGGCAACATCTTCAATGGTGATAATAAATGGAGTGTATTAAAAGGTGATGAAAAGCTCCACTTGGCCACCGGGTGATGAGGTGTCAGTGAAGGGCAACAATGTGGGTCTTTGGTTCTCACAGGTTTTAACGGAAATGTCAGAGGGACGATAGATTGATGAAACCTGCAAAGTGACTACGTATGTCTTTTGTTTTAGGCCGTTGTTTTGTGAAATGGCAGTTGCGTAGTGTTCAAGTGTTACTGTGTCACACCACATGTGGTCACTGTGTGAACAGGAAGGTAGCCACTCGCTGTCGTGCAGAATTTTAAACTCGGTGTTGCAGGTTAGTTCTGAAACTTTGAGGCATAAAGCCGCTGCAGGTGGGGCATGGTAGACGAGGGGGGAAAATATGTAGTGGAACAAAGTTGAATAAATATTATTTTATATATGGAAAATAAACAAACAAGAGTTTCCCCTATGATTGTTAATGATTTCTAAAACATTGTGAGGTGAAGAGGGGCATGCCAGAAAAAGCCATATAATCTTGTCTTGTAACAATAAATACACCTACCTCACTTATTATGTAAGTGCGATGGTAATTACAGGTAGTGTTTTGATTTTGCTTATTGTCTTAATGTAGAGGACTTCCTGACCCAGTTAAACAAGGTCAATCCCACAGCAGTCAGTTTTGATATACGACACGTTACACGCTTCAACAGGAAAGCTGTTCAAGCTCTGTAATGAGTCAGTGAGTTATTTGTTTTCAATGTAAGCTCTTAAAATTTGTTCGCATATAAAAATGTTTTGCAAATATGCAGTTATATGCTCATGAGTTTGTACATGTGGGTAATTTGCTGCTTCAGAACTTTTAATTTGAACTTTTAATGAATAGGCGGAGTTGTAGCGGTTTTATTCAGGTGATTTATACCTTGATGTAGTTTATTTCATATAAACAAAGTCATGACATGGTTTAGGTAGAGTCATTTTAACACAGTTGAGCACTAGGGGATGCATTCAGTAAAACGAAATCACCTGTTAGCTGCTAGCCCACTAAAAAAGCAGCTATGACAGAGTGTCTGTAACCAGCTGTGGCGTTATGACAGTGGTTTCAGTCCACAAGGATTCATCTTGGTTGTCTTATCCACAAAAAAGTGACTGATTCAGCCACTGAAGGATATCCAACCCAACTGAGGGATGAATCAGAGCAAGGAATCACAGCCTCTGGACAAGGACATGGCCAACTCATTTTCCAAATTAAAGTGGCACTTTCGGCCCAGATCATTCAGATTTTAATGCCCACATTGTAGTTTTTTAAGCATATAAATTGTAAGGATTTATTTTGAGGGAAGAAATAACAGCGAAGAAGAAATATGCAGGACAAGGAGATGAAAGGAAACGGGATGTAAAAACACTTTTACAAGGAACTCAAGTGTACAGACGATGGGAAAACAATTAGAAATACACAAAAGAAGCAAACCCACGAAAAAACAAAACATAATGAAAAGAATATAAAAATACAACAATGCAATAAAGTCGTCACATAACAACTCTTACATAAAGTCTAATCAGATCAGAGTTCGGTTGACAAGTATGAACCACATAATGAAGAAAGATCTCTTTAATTTCAGTTGCACCTTTCTTTAAGTTTCCCCATTAGGTGTGACAGGAAGCTGGCAGGACCACTCTCTGGGCGTTACATCTGTTTCCCAGGCAGCAGCTCAACAAAACACGGCCTTGCACACCACCATCACCATTCTCGCCACTCAGAATTACAGGAGTGAGAGAGTGAGAGAGAGATTGTCAGCTATCTCAGTGAGGCATGCTTTGCTCAAGGCTACGTCTCTCTCTCTTTTTTTTTCTACCCTCTTCGTCTCTCTCCTCCTTCCATTACTCAGCAACAAGAAGCAAAAAAAAAAGGTGTGACTGAGTGCTCATCGCACCGAAACTCTTTCGTCCTTTCCAAAAAGAACAGCAGTTGTACAGACATGAAAGTGCAGCGAGTTACACACAAGAGTACACACGAAAGGGCTGTCTGTAACAAAGAAGGTGGAGGTTAATACTGTTATCCGTGTGAACAATTAATCAGCAGAGTCGTATAAAGACATATGGTCTGGTTCCAAGGAATGTGAAGAGATTTAGTTTGTATCCATTGCTGTAAAAATGCAAAGCAGGAACGCTTTGTAATAGGACACTGGGGCAGAAGTTGGCACTAACTTTCATTATGGTAAACGATCTACAGTTACAGAATTTAGCTCTTTTAAATACAAGCTGTTGGTCTGTTGGAAGTTCAACATCACAAAAACAAACTGACAGTAAGTTAAATTATTGCTGCCCATGTCTACCAGCATTTTCCTTGCATTTTTCCTTGAGTATTTCTGCAGCCTTAATGCAACCAGACTGACAACTAGTAGCTGATGGAATTATGTAACTGTAGACACAGGCTTTAGTTTAATAATCCTGTAAAGCCAACTCAGTCTATGCACTGTTCGTCATATGGTGTTATCGCCTCATATGGTCTAGTAGGTCATACTGGACATTTCCAGTGAGTGCTCCCTGAGAAACCTTCAGTTCAGCTGCTGTTTGATGCAAGTAAAAAGTTTTTCTTTAAGGTGTCATGTGGAGTTTTCGACAGCCGGAAGTGCAATGGAGCAGTGTTATTGCAGGAGGACACGGCAGCTAGCACAGTTAGCATATACAATAGTGCAACAATCTCTTTAATGATGCAGACTTCAGAACAGTAAAAGATAGCTTTATAAATGTTTTACGAGGAAGGAAGTGTTTTTAACATGTTTTGCTACATCTGTTATAAACATTAAGGCCAAAGTAATGACTGGGACATCCCTAATGAATGAAAGACATGATAAACTGTTAAAGTTTCTTGTGCCTTTTTATTAATAGTCCACAGTAGAGAGAGATCAGGAATGATGTGCAAACAAAGGTCCTTGGCCAGACACAATCCGGTGATATTTCTTCATGATTACTTTTCAGCTGAAGATTTTCTGTGTGTTCATTAATGTTTTTGAAACGTCAAAATGTTGAAAATACGTCCAATACAGTATAAAACAAATTATTTAGCTGTCTGGTGCCATTGAATTGAATTTATAATGCAATTTTAGTTACAAACATCTCTGGTGTTGGGTATACTTTCCTCAGTGTGGGTATGGTTTGAATGCTCTTTTTAATCTCTTCTAATCTTGTTTAACATATAGCTACAGTAAATAAACTATCTGATCTCTCTGCAGCCAGTTTAATCTGTCATCGAGCTCACAGACTGAAATGAACCGTTTTGACTGCCTCAGCTTCATTTCTGAGTTATTTTCAGTTTGATGCATCACTAAGCAACAGGGAATAACAAAAAGGGAAAATGGAAATAAGTTAATTGAGACACTTGACTTTTTTTTTCATGACGTAGATGTTGAATAGCTGTTCCTGCCAGGTGTGTCCTTCAAGTGGCTGGCTAGTGAAACACACACACAAACACAAAGGCTTAATGCAGAAGTAATTTTGTCCACCCCCACCTTGTCTGTCATCCTAGCCTTTCAAACTGGGGGCGTATTCTTCACTGTGCACATGCTCACACATTCACACACATGCACTCGTGGCATGGAAACACTGCTGGGCCTAAAGGCTTTGTGGTTGCCTAGCTGCCCACCTACTCACCTGTACCCACCCATCCTCACCTGTTTAGATGCTTAAGACCGAAATAGACCCGAGAGTAATTGCATTATCATTGGAAACTGTACATGCAATCGCGAGTGGCTGTTGATACTTGTAGGATAGTCACCATGGGTGGTTCAGTGAGGGTTTGACTGGGTTTGAAAGAGTCAATCTGTCATGGTGCCCACTCACTTAGGACTCACTTGCAAAAGCTAGTTGCGTGGTAAAGTCCCTCGCCTCTGGAACAACAGTGGGCAGACAATCCTGTCCAAGCTTGATCTGCTGTGTCTTCCATCTTTTCTTTTCCATCTCAACCTTACCACTTACAAAGACTTACTTTGCCTTTGGACAGTCTCTCCTCGAAGGCGTTCACGGTGTTGCACTTTTTTTGCACACAACGTAACAAAAGTTGCTGTCTGCAGCCTCGCTTGTGGCTCTGTGAGACTGGATAGTTGTATCCTTTTATCCAATTTGTTGTATCGTTGGCTAATAAGCGCTAAACACAAATACAGCTTAGGCTGACAGGAATGCCTAGAGTTGTGCAAAATGTGTGTATTTATTATTATTCTGTGTAAAGGCCAGCAGGTGGAGCTTCACTGGCTGCAATAACACAGCGATCCCATTCACTTTAATGAAGAAATGAGCCGACTTGTCACTTCATTTACTAGCTCAGTAAGCAGTTTGCAAATGAGTTTCTGGTCTCAGTCTCTAGTTTCAGTCTTCTTCCATACAGCATGATGTTCATTTAGTAACTGATGGTCCCATTTAGAGTCAAACAGACCATAAAGCAGCGGATGCTTTAGGGCGGGGCTACCTTGTGATTGACAGCTCATTCTCAGTGAGTCCGTCCAGCTCAACATACCAAACTCAGATCAAACTGTCAAACAGTGCTGATCAGAATCTGGATCCAGATTCTGTTACTGCCTACAGACTTTTCAATGCCAACATTGTAAAGTCACCAACTCCTTTTAGTGTGGACGTATGAAAGCTAGTGATCATCATTCTCCATCTAAGGGTGAATGAACCTTATGGTTGGAGTTTATTGGGCAATAACGTAGGTGGGAATGTGAGTCTGTATCTTAAAATATGTGTTTAATTAATTACTCCCTTTTTTTATATTCTCAATTTCTTAACATATTAACCATCAAACCTTCTTTCTCTCCCCCTCTGTTTATCCTCTTCCTCAGCTCTTGGAGTATGTTGGCAAAGGAAAAAGCATCATGGACGTGGGTTTGGCCCAAGCCCGCCAGCCACTCACCACCCGCTGCCACTACTATGAATTAGAGATCGTTGATGCTGGGGAGAAGTGCTACATTGCCCTGGGCCTGGCAAGAAGGGTGAGCTTTCTAAGAAACAGAAACGAAAAACTTTTGACAACTTCCCACACACCTACACTCAACAGAAAAGCAAGTTTTTTTTTTCTGAATTTGGCCCTTTCCCCCTATTTTCCACATAGTTATTAGGCTCAGTGAACTCAAGGGATGTGGACGGCAGGAATAAGCCTGCCATTGGCTGACTCTCCCATCCTGCTTTCTTATACTCTCCCCCTCTGGTCCTCATAGTTTAACAAGTCGTTGAGCTAACAACATGCTAATGATGGAAAACTTTGACAAAAACTTGAATTGGGGATAAGTTAATTAGCATGTGCAAAATGTGCCTCAGGCCCTGTCCTGGGAATGTTGGAAGCTTTTCCTAAGGGAAGAGCAACAGCGCTCCTGTAATTTTAAAGGTAGGATCCCTCACATATATGTAAATGGCAGTGTATGGAGGAAACATAATGAGTGGCTGAGCCTTTAAAGCCCTTTTTAGATGACAAAAACTTTGTGAAATAGACTCTGCCAGTAGTAAACAGTGGTACTGTCATGAGCTTTATTTTCTCTCCCATTATCCAGCAGCTTAGCCATTCTCTTTGGATCTAATGGCCTACTTTGGGTAGATGAAACACCCCCAGAGGAAAATACAATTAGAGAAATTTTAACACCTCTCATTTGAGCCCTTATTTCTTTTTCCAAAGAATGCACATGCGGTTCTCATTTCTGCATCAGCTCTGCAGCTTTGTGACTGTTACCATGTTGAACTGCTTTGAAGAATAAAAGAGACAATCCTGTAGGTGTTTGGGCACGGAGTGAGATTGATACATGTTAAGAGATGCAGAGATTGACTAGAACAAAGGTTAATATAATAATATCAAGACATTTTAATACACAGATGCAAGGATGTAAACTATGAGCAGTTTCAGTAGGGTTGTTTTGAATCCTCCTTACTAAGCTCATAAAGGGCAGGATTAAGCCTGTATGAAAGTATGCTTTCTGATTGATGGATTCTCTTAAAAAAACCTATTAGCATTTTTTACATTACATTATTCTTCTGACTCAGGAACTATTTCTTCGACAGTATGTGTCCGTGATTTGTGAGTTTTTTACACCCTGTAAGTTTAGCCTCGAAAGTGTTATGAATGTGAAATATTAGCGACTGCCAAAGCCAAGGCCTGTGGAGAGCTGCCAGCACTGTCTCTCCCAGGGTCAAAGCTCTGCTCCTTTTAATAACAAAAATAAAAGATGAAACTTGTACAACAACATCTTTCAAGGTCTCCGAGGCAATTTATATAAAAGAGGAACAGAGGGATGCACAGGTCACTGAATGATATTAAGACAAAGAGGGCTATAGATGCTTACGGAGACGGGAGGCTGAGCAGGAGGAGTATACTTGCACTGCATGTGTGTGTCCTACACACGTTAATAAATATTAAAATCTGAACTTTCTCTTTGTGGATGGTCTCAGTACGATAAATCAGTAACGCCGGTAGTATCACCATCTTCGTAGATATGTTGCTTGCCAAACCACCCACCTGGCGAAAGCAGCATTGCCCATATTTCACCCTTAAAGTTTTGGGTAAAATGAACTACAGAGCTGCGGCTGCTGTGGATATTTTCCCATTTTTCTAAAGAGGATAAAACCGTTTTTGGACATATTTGTGGAAAAGGTTTCTAAGCTTAAGGCCTCTGAGTGGACGTTTCCTTTGGCAGCGGCTGACTGACATCTGAGAGCTGGAGTTGCTAGAAGACGCACTATCAAATTTCCTTGGTGCACGCCATACTGTACAGTACACCGATACAAAATGTTTCTTTTCCCTTTTCCAACAAACTCACATAGCATTGTTTATGTACCGTTAGCAGTTTAAGACGTCCGTCCCTTTTAAAACACATTTGGGAGAACTAACATTAACTTGATGCTAGTTAGCCTGTCTTGCTAAAGTGGGCACTGATTTATTACTTTTTGTTTATGTTATTTAAAAAACCTGCTGTCATCTGCAGTTCCTGTACCATCAGGGTAAATTTGCAAAAGTATTGCGCAGCTTTTGCAGCTGCTAAACTTGCAAAAATAAGACAAAGAGACTGTTGTTCCCTTCAGAACCCACTAACATGATATGCACCTGTCTGCACTGCCTTTTTTGCGTCTTCAGAGAGCTGGTGGTGAACTGAGGAGTGTTTTATAAGGGCTGTCTCAGCATTGTGTGGTCCTGTAATGATTCATGTCACAGAGTAAGTAATGTACTGAGTCAGAATAACATGTGACTGGAGTGACTAACAGCATCGAGCCGCCCTGTGTGGCTGTTAGGGATGTGAAGATTCATCGTGAGACAATTAAATCACAATACAGAAATGTATTTAAACAGCAGAGGGCGCTGTGTACTTTTGACTTGTTCAACGCCCTACATCAGTCAGTAGCTGTGTCGAGGTGCAAAGACGTCAGTTTCTACTTTTCTATAATTGAATATCTGAGAAATTTCAGTTGTGATTCATCTTCAACCTCATTTTGTTAAAATAAATAAATCATATCGTGAACCCAGTATCGCGAGTGGAGCGTATATCGTTACATCCCCTAGTGGCTGTTGATATTAGTGATATCAAGAACTATATTTTTCTTCCCACCAGCACAGATATTGCACTGATTAAATCACAACCCTGGAGAACAGTAAGTAGGGTGTGCTCTCTCTAAAGAAATACTTTTATTATACTTTTATTTTTGGTAATTACAGTTTTTAATTACACAATTCAAAACAAACAATTACACTGATATCTTCTAAATTCAGTTTGACTTTAAAGCCCTTAATTCACACTATACTCCAAAAATCGCATCTATTAAATTTCTGCATTATTTTCTGTGACTTAAGAGACAAAACTGCTAGAACATCCTCTAACAGACACATGCTCGCAGTTAAACAAACACAGACGTTGCTCCCATGGGTGAGGAAGATGTTGAGTGGTGATAACTCCAGTGCCATTACCTCCTCAGAGTTCTCCTCTCCTTTCTATTTGCTCCACTACTTTTCTCTCTGCATCTGGCTTTCATTATAAAGACATTAAGCCTAAGTCCAGGAGAGGTGATAAAGCAGCAAATTGAAGGGCTTGTGTAATGACTGTTTACTCAACAGCAGTGACAAGTTTGCATGCTGGTATTTTTCACATAGCATCCCGTGGTAGGAAAGAAGGCCTGAATATAAACACAAATCCACTCATTAATGCCCCGCAGACTGCCAGATTCTGCCTGTCTGTCTCTCTGTCTGTGTCTCTCTTTCTGTTTGTTATGGTTGTACTTGTACTGTACTTTGTACTCAATTTCCTTCACTTAATGTCCCCAGTGGTCGGTCACCTCTGAAGGAAAGCAACAGATTTTTGTTTGTGGTGTGGATCTTGTGAGGACAATGTTAAATCAGTCCACCACTTTGGTCCTGATTGAATATCACATCAAATATTGGATGGATTGGCATGAAATTTGATCTTGGTCACGGTCTCCAGATGACAGAGCTTACTGTGGTGACTTGTTTTCTAGCACCACTCGGATATCCAGTCAAATATTATATAAATAAACTTTACAGACATTCATGATCCCCAGAGGATGAAGCCTAATGACTTTGGAGTTCCTCCTTCTTAATGTGGAGAGCCTCTTTAGGGTTGTTGGCTTTTGCGAATGTATTGATGTCTACCACATGACGAACAATCAGTAATGCCGGTAGTATCACCATCTTCGTAGATATGTTGCTCGCCAAACCACCCACCTGGCGAAGGCAGTATTGACCATATTTCACCCTTAACGTGGATGTTTTTCCATTTTTCTAAAGAGGATAAAACCGTTTTTGGACATATTTGTGGAAAAGGTTTCTGAGCTTGAGGCCTCTGAGTGGACGTTTCCTTTGGCAGCGGCTGACTGACATCTGAGAGTTGGAGTTGCTAGAAGACACGCTATCAGCTGCTCTGGTGCACTACTAACAGGAGCACGCCATACTGTACAATATGCAAACATTATTGAGTTTGGAGATCCACTGACTTTCCCTCTTATCACCATGAAAGTTGGCATTTGTTCTTTTGAATGAAACAGCTCAGCAACTATTGGATTTCCATCAAAATTGGTATAGACATTCACCCTGTGTCAGTTAACACGTTCTGGCTCCGCCGTGGTAACCGAACTGATCGCGCCCGTTCTAGACAATACTTGAAATTCCACCAGAAGTGTCGCATTGCTATGTTCCGCGTAGACCCACTCTCGTCAAGCAGCAGATTTTCAAAATAAAATACTGATTGTAAACTCCGGATCGAATTTCATGCTACAATAACATTGTGGCACTAGGACAGAAGTCCGTCAGTGGAGATTTTAAGGGGAAAAACAGACAGAATTGTTTACTTTTTAAGGACAAAGTACATAAGTAAACAGCGTCGGTCAGGCAACATGCTCTGAAATACTCTCAAATATGGAGCCTTGACTCTTTGCTTAATTGCATGAAGAAACATTTTACTGCTCTTTGTTTGAATTCTGGTCAAAATCTTAGTGCAAAGATGCCAAATAAAGTCGAGGTTCAACACGTTAAAGTTAAATTAGCTGGTTTAAAAAAGGTGGAAGTAAGTTTTTTATTTTATTTTTTTTTAAATCCCCTAGGCCACTGTTGCCAGTTTCCTGTCCAACAGGGAAGTCAGAGGAATTTGTGTTATGTGATAAGTTAGAATGTTTTGTATGTAAGGTAAGTGTGTTGTTTTGTGTGTTTGTAATCTAAGATCTGTTTTGACCCCCACTGCAATTCCTAGACCTGTCATGACCTCTCGCTTCCTCTCTCATTCCTGGGAAGATAAGGGTCTCCATGGATGTACAGCATGCATATGCTTGGTAGCGCGGTTGTTTTTCATCCGGTACACACACCGGTTGCTAGGCTGTGGGACAAAGAGAGATCTAGGCTTAGTTATGGGGTGGAAGAGTGTCGCTGGTAGATGGGAGTGGGGTGGGGGAGTCGGGTGTGTGTGTGTGTGTGTGTAGTGTATGTGTTATGGGTGCAAAAGGTTAGAAA